TCTTCATTCTAGAAAAGTATGCATTAAAATTATCAATCATATAGGCAACAAAATGAGGAAAAATATTATTGTAGAAGTCATAAAAGCAAAAAGTAGAGCTCGAATTAAGCATATCGTGAATCGCGATTGCTTTTCACACCTTCACAATTAGTTTTTTCTTAAAAAAAATATTTTCACGATTTGTTCTATTTTTGGTTTTTATTTACGTTTTTTCCAATTTAGCATTTTTTTTTGGCAGTTCTAAAAAGTACTGTTTTTGACATAAAATACTTCAAGCTAAATTTATCTTTTGAATAGAAGCATAATCATTTGCTCTTTTGCACGGAGATTCTCATTCAAAATAAAACAGTTTTGAATTTAAATTACTTTAAATCTGGGCGTGGAATCAATCGAATTAAAAGGTTGTTAAAATGAGAAGTTGTAAAGGGAAAAGACATTAAAGAAAATTTTTTCTTTATTGTTTTTTTTTTTTAACAAAACAGCCTGGTTTTTATCTTTTAAAACATTGCACCATATTAATTTATTAATAATAATTTAAATTATTACTTTATCCTCAATAAAATTTATATATATATATATATATATATATATATATATATATATATATATATATATATATATATATATATATATATATATATATATATATATATATATATATATATATATTATATATATATATATATATAAATTTTATATTATTACTTTGTTGTAGAAGCCAGCCAAAATCATGACACAATTATACATATTTTGTGATTATTAGAGTTCGCAGGCAGAGAAAAAATAAAGGAAGTATGATGCGGTTTTTCGTTGTATAATTAGTTCATATGATTCAATAGAGTTGTTCATTTTATGTTTAATTTATATTTAGTATGGTTTAACTCCTTCACTACCGCAAGCCACTGGTAGCAGCTTTTGAGTATGCTTTACAATTTATCTTGTTTTGTACATAAATTTCCATTTAGACACAGAATTTGTTTGCTCTGAATGTTTAATTAATTCTCTACATAATCAAGAAAAATTAAGAGCTATATTGTGTAATTATAAAAAAGTTATCACAAAGTTAAAAAATCTTGAATAATTCTTCATAAAAAAACTTTAAATTTAGTTATAAAATAAAACAGCGTTAACACTGTAAAACTTAACTTGTAGAAGTGTTTTTATATTTATATTATAGCTATTTTTTGTATAATTTAGTAAAAATACTTGTTTTAACTTTAATTTTGTTTAATTTGAATGGTTATTAGTAAAAAAAAAAAATTTTTTTTTTTTAATTATTCACCTTCACAAGGCCCGAGGGGGCCACTACAATCGAGGAGGCTACTCATTTTTTTTTTTGTTGTTGTTGTAAATCGTGGTACAACCCTCTCTTAACTCTTTAACTCCGAAACACAAACCTTGACAAGCAAGGCCGCTGCGCGGAGAAATTAAGTTGAGCGCGGTACTTCCAGGGACATGGTGGGAGTCGAACTCCGAACCTCTCGCTTACAAAGCGAGCGCTCTCACCACTACACCACTACCGCAATAAAATAAGTTGTTTAATATTTATTTTCTACTTAGTTGAGTTTATATGTTTTATTCAAGTCACTCATTTTTTTTTTCAGTTTATACTTTAAATTAATTTATACGCTTTTGTAAAATTATTCTTTTAGTATCTAGCTTATATTTAGTTTAAACCACTACGTTTATTGTATTTTTATAAATTTTATAAATTTAATTTTTAATTGCATCATATTTTTTTTTGGGATTTAGTAAAAAGTCAAACAACTAACATGTTTTGGTGATTTTGGCAAAAAAATAATACGACATCTTGAAAGAAAAAATTTATACACTGACGCCATATACCGAAACTGTTATGAATTAAACACGCATGGAATAAATTATCAAGTCTGCAGATTGCGGCTAACATTATACAGACTTTGAGAACCAAAAAAAATGGAGACGGCGAGCTTTGATAAAAACGTGAATTTTAAATTTAATGGTGTGCATTCATTATATAGTTTTAATCAAAAAAATTTAGCCCAAATGTTTTTTATAAACATTTTCTTTAATATGAACACAACTTGTCTTGGCAGTTAGGGATCCCTTTAAGTATATTAAAATCAGGGCTGTCCCGAAAGAAAGGGAATGTAGGGGCATCCCACCACAACAAGACTATAAGCATTTGAGTTGGCACATTGAGCAAGTTTTGAACTACAGTTGGCAAATTGCAAATATTGATGACCTTTTTTTTTTATATTTTGGTGTTTCTAGTTGGCATAAAAATACATACACCCCATCCTCCATAGAAGATCTCTTCGGGACAACCCTGATAAAAATATATATTAATTCGTTGTTTTTTTTTTGTTTTTTTTTCTATTAATTAATCAATGCAACCAGCAACTTTTTTGCTTCAACTTTTTTTTTAATGACCTTGAACTTTTTAAAGTTATATTTAGTTTGATTTACTGAATGGATAAAGTACTTCCCAGTGGACATCGGACTAAAAAAAGACGTCATTTGAATGTTCAAAAGATGTCCAAAACATTCAAAAGACGATCGATTCAATTAAGAGATGTTAAAAAGACGTCTTTTTTATCCACTTATGAACTAAATCAAAGCAAATAGTTAAGTTACTACAGTAACTTACAGTTACTTAACAGTAGTTTACAGTTACTCAAATATTAACTTATCAATTATATTAATATACTTAATATACTCAAAGACTCGCAAAAGTTAGCCATACAAATGTTTCTATTTGTCGAATAGAATATGAAAAATACAACACCATTTTTTTATATTTTCATTTTATTTAAAGCGAAATCAAGATTAAACATTTTCTATAAATTCCCAAGTTGTTTTTAGGAATTTTATTTAAAAAGAAATCTATTTGAACAAAGGAATTTTAGTCTTTTAAAATTCTCTTTATCAAATAATTTTGTGATTGAAATTTGAAATTGAAAAAAAAAATGGAAAATTTTAAAAAAATTTGAAGAAACAAGGGAGAAATAAGGGAATGAGGAAGAAAGTTTTATTTTCGTAAATCGAAAATTTTGTAAATGCTTTGAATAGTTAATTAAATTTTGTTTCTTGAAAACAGTTTTAAAAGTAGAAACATTCTACTGCAAATATTAAACCTGTGATTGCAAAAGTTAAAATAAAAATTAAATTATAAAAAGTTAAAATTAAAATTGATTAAGTATTACTTCTTTTCAAAAAAAATTTTATTCAATATAATTAATATAACTTAATTTTATTTTATATACTTAATACAATTTGATTTATTAAACCAAATATTTTTGTTTCACGTTTTATTGGAAAACAATTTGTATAAAAAAATTGAATAAAAATATTAAAACCATTTGAATGAAATACTTAGTTATAGTTAAATTTTTAATAGTACAGATCAAGAAACAATAAATTATAAAAAAAACGTGATGTTTAATGTTTTTTTGCTTTGATCTTACTCGTTTGGTCTATAGATTATAGACTGGTATGGTCTATAGGCATGTTTTTGCGCAAATATGAAGTTTTATGACAATATTGTTTTAATTTAATAAACAGAAGAACTTTATTTGTTACGGTTTATTTTAAATGTGTTTTATGTTTTTAAGATTATAAACTGCACAAAATAGCATCACGAAGTTGTTTTAACACAAGTTCTTTATATTTTTAAGACAATTATTAACTTGTTATTAACACAAGTTCTTTATATTTTCAAAACAACTTTACAGTTTGTTTTATTGTTGTTTTATAGCTTTTCACAATAACAATTAAATACTCTTTAAAAATAACACATGTTTTATCATTCGGCATGAACATATTAAGTAGTTTTCTATGATTAGTTAAAGTGGTTTAAATATTGTAATGTTTACTTTTTACTCTTACATTTTTACTTTTACTTTTTTAAGTATCATGTTAAGTAAAAATAATTACTAAAAGAAATATCTTAATAGTATTAAATACGTTACTTGCTCATTACACTATAACCGCAACTTAAACTTTAAATTATAACTTAAGCTGTAAATTATAACAGTAACTTAAGCTAATTTAAACTCTGTCAAACAAGAAAATTATAAAATAATATTTTAACATGAGAGACAATATGTTTAAAAAATAACAATTACGTCCAAAAGATACAATTTTTTACAGAGGCCACTTTTTTTTTTTTTTTACGATTAAATTTTTTTAATGTTAATTCAAGCCCTGAAAAGTAAGAATTCGTTAATGATTGATTCACTACAAGTCAAAAACTGACACTGATAGTGTTCATTCGGCGCTGTGTAAAGGGCAGTGAAATGAATTCACTAATCAGTTTATTTTTGGATTTAGTGTTACAGCTAAAAGAATATTTGATGCTTTACTAAAATATTTGTATTTTTATAGGATGACAGAAGAATATTTGAAGAACTATTTAGTTTCTCCCTTAGTGATATTAAAACTCTTTTTATTTTGTTTAAAGGACTAGTATAATTGCTAGATGTAGAAATTGAATTATTTCACAATTAAGCATTATTTCAAAATTTTCTTTGTTCATCATCAATATTTTTTTATTTTATCCAAATGTAGCATTTTAAAAATAAAAATGTAATTTAATGTTTAATTTTCATTCAATGATTAGAAAAACACTGTGTTGCAAAAAGTTTTACAGCAATTTTGAACATTTTTTAACTATAATAGACAAATGACATTGACAAGTCAATGTCATTTGTCTATTATAAATGTACGTGCAATAGACAAATGAGCTACACCAGGGTTTCTAAAAACAATCTTTTTTTTGATTCATAACACTTTTCACATTAATAACATTTAAAAATGAAAACATATTTTTATTTGCAAGATATAAAAATCAGCATATGGAAAATCTATCAATGATACAAGAACTACTATTCGTAACTTATAAGAATATATTAAAAAAGAGAGATAAGTTTATCATTAAAAAGCACAAAACAAGCAAGATCTTAAATTAAAAATTGAAACTGAATATATAAGACTATATATTAAAACAAATTGATTCATAC